GTGGCGCGGAAGGACCACGCCACGCACTCGTCTGTGCCCTGCCGATAACGATAATAACGAGGACGACGATTATTGCGATGATGAAACGCGCCAGTGTCCTTTCTTTCTGCGCGTTTGCCCGCTTCGACGTGTCTTTGCGCGCACGGACGCTTGTGCCAGGCAGGAGCAGGATTTGCCTTTGGCCGCGCGGACACCGAGCTGCTTGAGAATGTCATTGTTTATTGTGTATTATCCGTTGAGAGAGGCTGATCTAACTGAGCTCGTGGCGGTGGTCCAGTACGTTCCTTTGAAACGTTTCTCGCTCGTATCTCGATAGCGCCCCGACACATTCACATCCGCGCACTGTTACATGCGCTCCTATTAGATTATTGATTTCGTCCTAGTCGTGATTTTATATATTTGAGCACTAGTCCCTGCTCTCACGTGCTGTAAACGTACTTTTTTAAAGGGGCTTTTTTTTCTATCTTTTTTTCTTTTTTAACAACGTTAAATGTCGCACTCGAGCTTTAATGTAAGGGGAAAATATCGAAAGAGTGACGAAAGAAACGAAAATAAACCAACTAAAGTAGCAATAAAAATGATGAAAAAATAATTTAATAACGACTATGGCCTATATTTAATGGCAATAATACTTAAGGATTTATCGGCAATGGTAATTGTATGATTGTTGAGAGTTCGCGTGGGAGAAGTGAAGGAATCTTTCGATTTCCCTGGCAAATGCAAATCTTTCGGTTAGGATAGCTCGGTTATACATGTGCGTGCATGCGTGCGTGCGTGCGTGCGTGCGTGCGTGCGTGCGTGCGTGCGTGCGTGCGTACACTTTAGTCGAATGGATTTTACGACAATATCTTTTAACGAAGCTTTTCTCAAGAAGCATTAATGATGGTGATAGTCTTTCTCTTTGGAAATTGCTCCATATTATTCCGCCTCTCTCATTCGATACATATTGCGAGTAACGCACTTTATGCATACGGTAGATAAATTGAAAGGAATTTTTCCAATTGTAATCGCCTGTTCTAATGGAACAATAATCAACTTTCCTCTCATCACCTTTCGAATACCAGTACGTAAAATCATTATGAAAAATGCGCATTAACATAATCACGTATTCTCACAGTATTTAAAACTATTGAATTCCCATTTACAATTGAGTCAGTCGAAACATTTAGAAATCCGTGCATTATACGTGGACTAATTAAAAAAAAAAAAAAAAAAATTATAAAACGAATGTTAATCCAAGAGTTTCGAAATATGCCCCTCGAACAAGTCACCCTTAGCCGCGCTGTCGGTCTACGGATTTATTAATCATCAGAAGCGATCGAGCGATTTTCTGCCCACGATAATCCCCCGGCCATCGACAAATTGCAATTCTCGATGCCAAACGCCCTAATCATCATCACGATCATTCTCATTAATGTGAGAGCGTGTGCCACGGCTACACGTAGCGGCGTGTAAGCGCCGTAAGAGCGGGCGTAGAAAAGCGGAAACATAGCCAGGATATTATTCTTGGAGGAAGTTAGTGCCGACGTAGCGCGTGTGTACGTAGGTAATGCGCAGCCCCTACTATAATTCACGCATAACGTGATTCGTCGCGATCCTTTTACTTTCACAAAAGCGGCGAGCACCAGCGTGCAACTCGACTATTCGCCCGCTCGACGGGATGATCGAGCGGTCCCGAGGACTTCCATGACTCGCCGTCGAGGCGATTGCGTTAAGCTCGACGTATGTCGAGGAAATTCCATTGGCGATCGGCCCTGCAAACATTATTAAGTGCCTAAGCGTTTGTTTGGCAATCGGTGGGAGGCCGCTGAGAAGCGGTCATTTGGCCAAGTTTGCCCGTTCTTGAGATTATCAGAATGTTGCCGCCGATACGTCGACCGACCGCCTTTCCAATTCAAGTAGTCTCAATGGGACGGGCGTTATTCGTGGAGTTGGGACGGTACGCCCAGGTGACGACAACGGTGTCGTTCATTTATCTCCCGCGAATAATTCGATTTGGAATTACAATAAGCTTCGTGGTAAAATTGCGCTAAAAGTAAGGCTCGCGCTTTCAGTAGATAGATTTTACGAGGCCAGACGAAACCGGCCACATAATAGGGCATCCTTGCCTCGCTACATCTTGATATTTAAAATATTCGAGCAATTGTTTTACGATGTCTAACGCCGTCCAATAGGGACGTCTCCTAACGAATGTAACGCGCAAATCGAAAACGAGCGTTAACTCGTGTAAAATAGTAGAATAGGGTGGTGGACCGTGGGTAAGGTGGGAAAATTGTTGAATGATTAGTCTCATAGCTTTCTCAAATCCTTCGAAATTGATAAGTGATAAAGTTGCTTATTGCGTTGAAAGCGCGTGGCAATTATTTACATTGTAGCAAACATCGAGCGCCAATCAAAATATCTCCTCTCTTCCAATCTTTCAATAGACCTGGCAGAATTACACAACAACGTAACTCGTCAATGTTGCGCCACTCTCAAAATAATTTATGTAATACGTCGTTCCTATTATCCGTAATCGGCGCAGTTGGGAATTAATGTTAAAGGTGCCGCGTAAAAAGCAGCCGATCGGCAGTGCCGTACAGTAAATTCAGTTTTTCTCACGGGTTACATGTTAAGGCGTCAGCAGACATACGCTCGACATTCTCTCGTGGCTCCGCTACGGACGCTTATTACGTCGACACTGCTTAGGCAGTCGTAAATAAAATTACGGATAAGCCGGCTGCGTTGGGCAATGGCAGGACGGGGAGGCTAAAGGGCACAGGAGGTTCAGTTGACGCAAGAGGGTTGAAGTAAGGGCAAAGAGACGCGAGTCAGCTGGAAACCGAAGATGGAAATGGCGGCGTAGCGCGAGGCTAGAAACTCCGCGAGGCGGGCGGAGAAAGTACGACTTTCTTGGGACACGCGCATCGAGCAGCCTTTAATTGAGCTCTCGTAACGATTAGGATTCGCTCGCCGAGGCGGTGCGAAAGTCCCGGAGCAGCGCGCGCGTCCAACCACGGTTTAGGGGAAACGCGCCGAAAAGCGCTCGTCCTGCCGAGCAAGGACGCGACCACGGAGCCGTGACTTTGATCAGTCGAGGCGATAAAATATCGACTCGCGCCGCTCCACTGGCTGCGCCGGCCGCTACTGAATTTAAGCCCGTAACCGGGCGCTCGTGCTTTTTTCCACTCCTCTTTTTTTGTTACGCCCGAGGCTCGTCTCATTATGCCCACTCGTTGCGTTAATTACGAAATGGCCGAAAGTTCAGTCGCGATCGAGCCTATTACATTAAGAGATAGAGAGAGAGATATATATAGAGAGAGAGATAGATAGATAGATAGAGAGAGAGAGAGAGAGAGAGAGAGACGGAGAGCCTTTACAGCAATAGAGAATATCGGGCCTCGTCCTTTTGTAATGAAAAACGGAACTGGTGGTGAATGGAGCAAGGGGAAGAAATTCTGAAAATCAATAATTCTTTGTTGTTTCATGATTTTTATTCATAAGCAGTACAAAAAGTACGCGTACTCGCTTTTGGCGGACTCGTTGTCGCGTCGCGTCACTTTGCCGCTTTTCAGCTGAGCGCAGTCTCCTCTCTTCGTTAACACTGCCTAAGCGATACAAAATTGCTGGTACATCGTATAAAAAGTATAAGTATAAAAACAACGGAGACATCTACAAGGTACAAAAGTTTGAGTTTTTTTTTTGTTTTTTGTTTTTTGTTTTTTGTTTTGTTTTGTTTCTGTTTTCATTATTGTATATTTCATTCGCCTTGATCGCAAGGACATACGTAATAATAATAATAATAATAATAATATTACTAATAATATTACTAATAATATTAATAATAATATCAATAATTATAATATTATTAATAATAATAATAATAATAATAATAATAATAATAATAATAATAATAATAATAATAATAATCATAATAATTACAGATCGCGGCGTCGTCGTGTGAGACACGGATGAATGCGTGTGGGTGCGAGCGCGCGAGTGGTTGTGAGGGCGTCGTGTTTTGCCCGCGGCCACGCGTACGAACGAACGCACACGCGCTCGCACACGCACTCGCTTATTTATTCCGTTTCAGTAAATAAAGATCCTTGCTACAGACTGACGCGATCGGCGACAGTACGTTTATTTACACGGCGTCGAAGCAAGCGCAAAGTGGTTGGATCGAGAGAGGCGTGACCCCGCGGGATCGGGGGAGGGCGATAAAAATTTCTAACGGCACACGCGCGATGTCGCTTTTTATTCGCGCAATCTATCACTTCATGCACCGGCTGAACCATGAATTATCATTACCCGGGAGCGCGGCACGGCCAGTTTTAGTCGCGAATTAGTCGGACATTGCTCCTTTACTTAAGTAATCGAAAGAAAGGAGAGTGGCAGCGAAGAGAGACCAAAAAGTGCAAATTTTTTCAATCGTATCGTTGTACTTGTAAATACGCACTCCCAAGGACTTTCTTCTCGGTCCGCGAACGCGAGCTCCGCGGGCATTTTCTTTTTATTCTTTATTTCAATTGAATGCGATTGTTTTGCGGGATCGGCGGTGGTGGGCTTCCTGGAAGGTCCATAGCTCCGGATGTGAGACTTTCGCTACGATTTCTATGAATTTCTTTTATTAACTTGCCAAGTTTTCGACTAATCTTATTTCATCTTATCGAGACTCGTATGACAGTATTATGTGCGATGGGATTCCGGGTATAAGGTAACATAATTGGCCTCGTAATTATTTTCCTACATAATTGAAAATTATTTCCATATTATTCTTCCGTTAATATTTGGCCGCCAGTGTTACTCTTTGTAATGCCGCTATTTTGCCTTCCCTCCCTCCCTCATTCCACGAGTTACAGATTATGCTCTCACGTACGTAAATTAGACGATCTTTTCTTGTAACGAGAAATTAATGAGAAAGATATAAACATAGGAGATACGAATTGAAACGAAAGAAGATGAAGATGAAGAAGAAGAAGAAGAATAAGAATAAGAAGAAGAAGAAGAAGAAGAAGAAGAGGAAGAAGAGATATGAGGAATAGAAAAGTTGAAACTCTCGATATATCTCAACCTCTTTTGCAATTAGTTAGGACTAAGATGAGATTTTTAGCTGAAGAAACATAAATGGGCAGACGACGATAGCTCGGAAGGTCTGCCTCGAGGACGTCACGATGCTTAGTGATGGTAGCCTTCGTAGCTGCCGGACTCGAAGCCAGATAATTGTCCGCCATCTTGGTGCTCGTCATAATGCTCCTTGACATGGACGGGAACTGGGTAGGGGACCTTGACCGGGTAGGGTACCTCTTTCTCAACGGGATAGGGCACCTCCTTCTCGATGTAGTAGGGCTTGTCGACGGGCACCTTCACTGGGTAAGGGACCGGCTTCTCGACGGTCACGGGCACGGGCTTGTGGACGATGTATGGCTTGGGTACTGGCACCTTCACGTGTACAGGATAGGGCTTCTCAACCGGGACTGCGTAGGGCTTGTCGACGGGTACCTTGACCTCGTAGGGCACGCGTTTCTCAACGGTAACCGGGTAAGGTTTCTCCACGGTTACGGGATAGGGCTTGGGCACCGGTACGGGGTAGGGCTTGTCGACGGGCACCTTCACTTCGTAAGGCACGTGCTTCTCGACGGTGTAGGGCTGCGGCACTGGGACCTTGACTTTCACGGGATACGGTACGTGCTTCTCGACGGTGTAGGGCTGGGGCACCGGGACCTTAACCTCCACGGGAACGTGTTTCTCGACGGTGTAGGGCTGTGGTACGTAGACCTTAACCTCGTAGGGCTTGTCGACGGGCACCTTCACCTCGTAAGGGATCTTCTTCTCGACGGTGTAGGGCTGGGGCACGTGTACGGGCACCTTAACGAAAACCTTCACCGGATAAGGCACGTGCTTCTCGACTGTGTAGGGCTGTGGCACGCCGACCTTGACTTCGTAGGGTACGTGCTTGACCACCTCGTAGGGTACGTGCTTTATGTGCTCGACGGGCACGGGCACCTTCTTGATCACTTCCACGGTCTTCACGTGCTCGTGGTGCTCCTGATGCTCATGGGGTTCGTGTCCAAAGTCACCCAGGGAATGCTCGAGCCCCCGCTTTTCATTCTTCTTATCGGCTTCCTGGGGCTGCCTTTCCGCTGCATCCTCGCAGCGCGTCAGCGCCACCAGTGCAACGAGCACAAAGAGGATCTGAAAGGCAAATTTTTAGCACCATTAGTCAATCCGCCCGCTTAAGAGTTCATTATATAGGCAGTCTAACGACTTTCATCGCACTCTCCGTTGCACTTTGCCGTTAAACAATGTGCCGATAAGTGCGACTTAATAATCTTCGCCGTTCATCGTTCATCGTTAGTCGAACGCTATAAACTACAAACGCTGATCTACGTCAGGTCGAAATACTTTTACGGACAATGAAATTAATAGCTTCCTTACCGTTATTCAACAATTACCGTCTTTACGCAACGATACTTAAGCGTCACCTTATCCCTCAAACCTCCGTTCGTTCGAGCGTAAAATATAATAATATTGCCCATTAAGATTGCATAAGCCGAATAACCCGCACACCCGGTGGCATCGTGACAAAAAAGTAATATCCTTGCAATGTCAATAAGAGGTCGTCCGGGTTACAGGGCATTTCGGCTCGTGAAAGAAGCGAACGAGCGGACACAACGCGACCATGTGAAATTAGAACGACGGAGGAGACGTGGATCGTGCGCTCGTGAAATCGACATTTCCCTACGCAATAAGTATCACGCGAGTAAAAATCCGTCAATTCCGTTTCCACTTTCTCGAGACAAGAGATAGAAAGCTGAGCGACGAAATGCGAGGCGGCTCGTTTCGGCTCGCTTCTCGCCAAGAATGCGATGGAATGAGACGTCAAAGTCGAGACTAGTGAAGAGTCGAGGAGGTTGGAAGATGATAAGGACGAGAGTGTAGGAGGTGATGAAGGAGGATTAGGAGGAGGAGGAGGAGGAGGAGGAGGAGGAGGAGGACGAAGGAGAAGAAGTAGAAGGAGAAGGAGAAGGAGAAGGAGGAGAAGAAGAAGGAGTAGGAGAAGGAGAAGGAGGTGGAGAAGAAGGCGGTGGTAGTAGCGGTGGTGCTGGTGATAGTGGTGGTGATGGTGGTGATGGTGGTGGTGGTGCTAGCGGTAGATAGTGAAGGAGACGGAGCAGGAAGCGAAGCACGAGGTCGATGAGGATGAGGACGTGGACGAGGAGCGCGTATCGCGTGCTGGCTGGCGGCACTTACCTTAAATTTCATCGTAAGGTTCGCGCGCGTTCGTAACGTGGCTCAACCCACTTGACTGCCTGAGTTTTCCCGTGGGCCAGGCTTATATACCTCGGGATCGGCACACGGCCGGGCCCAGCACTTTCCCTCACTCGCGGCCGCGGTATCGCGCTCACTGGCGACCGGCGATGGAGAGGGACGCCGGGGCGTGCGCTCCCACCGGCAGCGGGTGAAACGCGAGGGCTGGAGCGGCGACGTTCCACCCGGTGACGAAAGCTCGGGAGAAGATCGCATCGCGGGATAAGGAAGCCGACGGGGGAGGCATTATTGCGCTACGGCTCCCGGCCGCGTGTCGTAAGAGAGTTCGCGCAACCTCGGGCGCGCGTACGGCGGCTCTCTTCCGTTGTTTTAGCGGGCGAGCGCCACGCCGGTGAACGCGATGCCCCGGGTCTTTGTCACTGGGCACGATCGAGTATCAACGGGGCCAGGAAAATGCTCGGGCTCTGCAATCGGGGACAGCGGCGCTTCGACGTCCCTCGCCACGGACGGCAGGAGATGGTTTCATCGAGGATGCGACCCGCCGACTGGAGCGTCTCGTTGCAGGAAGAATTTTCGGCATTAAATGAGGCTACCCGGGCACATGGAGCCCAGCGATTCCAACGAGTCAAAGCTGGACGCATCTTTTGGCAATCCCTCGGATTTATGGGCCGATCATGCTCTTTATGATCTGTCTATCGCGTAATTCGATGAATAGAGCGTAAAATTATTGCGCGCTACGGCATCGTAAATGTTAACGTAAAGAGGAATGGGAATATGGCTGATAGTTAATACGTGCATTGGTAGGTGTCGGTGGGTGGGGTGGCGGCGGTGGCATACTCGTCCCGCTCTATGTGGTGGGAGGGATAAGGTAAAGGGACATTGGAGGCGAGAGGAATGGTGAATTATTAAACGGCAATGTGCAAATATATTATACGCTGTAAAAATAGCGGCTACTTTCTTAATAACTGGTACATTTAGCAGAAATAATATGCACAAGGTTTCGTTTTGGTGTCGTAATGATTAGCGCTCCCTGCCTCAAAGCTTTTCCCATTCTCAATAATGCTGGATAGATACACGAGATCGCTGATGTATTTTGTAATAGTGTGTGCGCGCGCGTATACAGCCTTTAGCGAGGCTTTTCCAGGCGATTCGTATAATTACGTTCCATGCACATCTTGGTGGCAACAATTATGGAAAACAGATTTTTTTGTTTTTTTTTTCCCTTCTGAAGGAAAATTCATCGGGACAGGGCTTTAAAACGTCGCTCTTTAAGCGACTACAAAAGAATTACAGAGAATGAGTATTAGGAATTGAAGTTGAAAAAAGAAAGAAAGAAGAAAAAAAGGAAAGGGAGCTGGTCGTCGATTCGAGCCAATACTTGATTATACAAAGTACAATTAACTCCTTTATTTTCGCTAAACGGTAATTGAGAAATAATAATATACAATCGATGCAATTCGACTGATAATTCAAAAAGATTGACTATTATTTATAATGTTAAGGTATTAATTGGCTCGAGACAAGTGTATTATCGCAATAAATGGACATTAAATTTGAAATAAAGACAATAATTAAATCACGGCTTTAGCGTTGTGTTGGTAGTCGTTCGCTTATGCTCATAAAGTTTTCAGTGCACAACCGGATTCGAATGGATACAGGTAAAACTTTAATCCAGTCCTGACACAATTGTTTTCTAATAAATAAAATGAATAATATCCCTATCGCCTACGCGAATAAGCAAATGTCACAATTCTATTAATCTCGTGTAAGAGATGAAAAAACATAATTATCGGATCTAGGATATATATATTATTAATGAAAAACGAATAAATTAACGATGAATGTTATAGCTAAAGCGAAACATTCAACTTGTTCTACTGGATTTCGTAAAACTTGACATTTGGTTGCTATTAAATTTTTTTTTTTTTTTTTTGTCAGTTTTCGTCTTCATTTTTCTTTTAGGTGACCTTACAGTGATTTCGCAAATGGCATTTGTCCCAATAATTAAGGCGATAAATTAACTTAGTCAGCGGGTGTCTATTAGATAATTATTTCATAACGATGTAATGTGTGCGATGTGCACTAACGCGCCAAAATAGTTCCATCGGAGCACTTATTAAGCGCTTTCGACCAAAGCGCCTAAATGGCCTAAATCACGATGTGCGCCACACGTGCGCGCGCGCTCCCATACACGCAAACACACAAATCTTTACGAGTTATGTAAATTAGATTTAGTAATTCTATACATCTGCGATCGGATTCTTCTAAAATTCCGACGACGAGGCTGAGAAACTACGTGAAACATTATCATATCACTAAACGACGAGGCATTAGAAGTCGTTTATTATTTTGCAATACGGCAATACGAAATTTGGCTTGAATAATCCATTAAGGCTTCATCGAATAATCGAGGCACGGTCTTGAAAGACTCGAGGCCTGTTTAATAGGAGCCGCCAACCCATCCTACGACTCTCCTCGTCCTGGGCGTAATAACAATGACAACGTCGAGTCGTAAGTCATGTGCCATCGCATTAAAGACAAAAAGTCCTTATTAGCCTTATAAAGGTTAGCGAGCGAGAGAGCGAGCGAGGCGAGCTAGTGGAGCGTTTCCTAGGAACGAAAGGTGTTCACCAACAGGCGAAAGTAAAAGTGCTCTCGCGGCCGCTGAGACTCTCGCGAGCCTTCCGCCGTGGCCTGCCCGAAGAACGTCCGTATGAAGCGTAGAAGAAACCAAAGTCAAAGGAGAATAGGCGGACAGAGGGGCAGAGCCGAAGACCAGGCGAGGTAGAGAGTGCAGCTGTTAATGAAAGCGGGAGAAAAAAAATGGGCGGGGAAGGGCCGCGGAAATCGGTGGATCATAGAGCCGAGCCAGGCGCGTTGCCTCGGAGCCTTAGAGTATTATGAAATGTCGAGGCCAGTGAGCTCGAAGGATCGCTGAGCTTCCGAATGGGGACATGAGCATTTCGTTACATGTCGCTCCTACGATGTGAGTTCTCTTGGGCTTCACTGTTACTCTCACTGATATAATTCCGTCGCGGCTCCCGCGTCGCTTAACATCTCGTCCTTTTACATCGCTGCTTACGAGCGCTACAAGTGAATTGCAGAAACAGTGTTTAGCGCATACTTGGCATTTTTTTCTCCTCATTAGCATTATGAAACTATAATAGATTGTAAATGAATAAGTGGTCGGAGTGTAATGAAAGCACGTCGAAGCCTAATACCGCCGCTCTCCCGCCCCTTCATTCCAATTCATTTTCATACTTTTAACGAGCATTCCAATTAATTGAATTTGCCTTCTATCGGACATTATTGAAATTGGCTCGACGAAAGGGGAATCGGCTAATGGAGAAAGCTATATGACAAAATGGATCATTTATGCTTCATGGTGTCTTTCACACGCGAACATGATATTTTGCTTAAATTTCAAAAGCGCTCTTGCTTTGTAATATGGCGAGTCTTACATAACATATCGTTTAATTAACTTATAGTCTTATGGATTTTCACTATCTTCAAATACTATGATGTAAATTGGCTTTGCGCTGACACATTATGAAATTTTTGTAATTTTCAATGGCTTAGATTTGAGGAAAAGCTACACGTCTAGTGATTATATGATTTTTTTCTTTCGTTAAAATGCCTCCGCCTCGCTTATACATTACAGCACATGGATTCTATAAATCAAATGGCTAATGATTTCATACGTAATTAATAAAAATCTATACTAAATCGGCGTTAGAGAAAAAAAAAAATAAAAATAATAATAATAACACAATTACATTTTAATAACGCGAGTGTGTACGTATAATTTGAAATTTCTTAGATATTTAAATAAAGTGAGATAATATTATTTAAATTGATTAATAAGTTTATATTAATCGATGGTGAAGGCAATTAAGTTCGTAATTATCATAATTCACTCTAAAATGCTATTTACGACAATTTTATTGTCTATTCGTACAGACTTTAAAATATTTATTAAATAGCTCGTCAGCTCGTTGTTGTTGTCGTTGTTGCTATTGCTGTTGCTATTATTGCAACTGTTATTGTAAAAATAGAGAAAAAGATAATTATAGAGAAAAAAAAATGATTGAATGGTCTTATTATTGTACATAAAATTTATGTATATAGGAAATCCTTATTTTTTTTTCTATTTTTTACAATTCCCGTAAATACACGGCACCATTATCAAACATATTTATCATGCAGATTTTGTAAATGAAAGTTTATATACCACTGAAGATAAAAAAAAATATTCAATATTTATTATTGATCTACTAAAAATAAATTATGTGATAAATTAACCAGAGATATAATCATTACGTAGTGATTGATAAATATTTTTAAGAATATTTGAAAAAATTTTACGTTTGATATTTCTTGAAATGTAATTTTCAGTTTAGTTTTGCCTTATACTTACTTACACGTAATGTCAGATTGAGAATAAAAATTCATTACAAATATGCATAAAAAAAAAAAAAAAAAGAAAAGAAGAAAATGATGAAAAAACATTATATTGGAAATAAAATTATCACACGTGGTTGAACGTATATATAATCGAGTGAAACTTGTCATTAAAATTGTTAGTTCAATAACCTTAAAAGTGTCATTGATATTAATATGAAAATTTCTCATATCACTAATTTAATAATTATATTGTACCGGCTCATTTGGAAATAGATAATAATTTAGTACTTTTATGCGATTATTAATCATATCTTGATTACTTCGTTAAAGTAGAACAACAATAAAAGATATATAGATTTCTTTTACGTTAATCACTGATACACAGCAGCATACGTATCCATTAAAAAAAAAAAAATAAAAAAGAAAGAATGAAAGAAAGAATCTGGAATAACGCAAGTTATAAAATGATATTTTTTTTAGATTCCTTAGGTAGCGAAGAAATTATTATTCTACTTATTTACCACATATATTTTACAATGAATTTTTATTTATTAGAAAAATTGCTTTCTCTTTTGGGATTCTTAATTCTATAAAAGTGATTTTAAATGCCGTGTGTTTATTTTAAATCAATGCATAGTCGATGATTGATATCACGTATACGGGAGCCTCGC